TTATGCAAAAGGTGTCAGATGCAAAACATTTCAGAAACCGTATGTATCAAATATGATGCATTTGGCATTACAGGGTTAAATTACAGGCCGCAGAGCTCTCAGGTAGGCAGAGGTTTCAACAGTATTAATGTTTACACCAGTAGAAGTATAAATCCTACTATTTAAAACACCTTTGCTGAAGTTAGAGAATCAACTTAAGCTTTTTACTCCAGTAAAAGTGTAAAAGTACCAATTTTAAAGCTACTTAAAGTACAAAATAAAAAGTACTGCAATAAAAAATTTTAAGGCAAGAAGCTTTACTGCACTACACTATTAAAAGAACATTTTTAACTTCCTTAGACTTAATTGTCTAAGTTTTAATAACTAATGGTAGCAGTGTCACATTTAACTTTGCATCAACATGAAAAATTATTTAATCTGATATATGGTGAACAACAAGTTGGGGTCCAACAACAAAGAAATAAATTGCCTGGATGAAACAAATTATTTTGATGGTTTTCATTTTTTTGAATATCAAGAGGCCATAATGAAAATGAGCTTAAATGAAACAAAACTAACGAGTCTATTTTTAGAATATAAAGAGTAGAAAGTAGAGATAATTGCATGAAAATATAAGAAGTAGAAGTAATAAGTTGTATAAAAATGATTACTCCAGTAAAGTATAGATAGACAAAACTTTTACTTAGGTAAGGAATGTATTTGTACTTTGTTACTTGACACCTTTGCAGGTAGGTATTAAATCCATCCATAACAAACCTCAGGTAAACAAATGTCCATGCAGCTCTTTGTCTATACAGGCCAGTAGGGGGTGTTGTTCTATCTCATAATATGGATCAATGGCTGCTATTTTAGCAGCACAGTGAGCAGGCAGTTTGCCGTACAAATCAAGGTGTGTGAATTACCATGTGTCACACAGAGTAAATGAAGAAATAAAGTGTTTTTTTTTTTATTCCTCTGAGGTGGTTATACCTCCTGTCACACCATCTCACACACCGTACAGCTCCTAGCAGCAGCTACAGTAGTAGGTCTCTACACTGAATAAATTGGAGCTAGGAAGCATCCTGCTTCCTGTTCCTTCTTAGCACCATTCAGATAGTGTTTACTATAGAGACTACAGATGCACCTCTGTCGTGTCCTTACTGATTTGAGGCTTGAGCCCAGTCTAAATGCAGCAGCTTAGGCAGCTTCCCTTTATGCACAACCTAAATCTGTGTTCAGTTACTCTCGTTTTTTTCAGCAGGATGTGCTGCAAGAAAATTTGAGATTGAATTGCAGAACTGAAAGGGAATTTTTTCAAAATGAATATTAAGTTTAATTGAAATACAGTTTCAAAGAAAACTTATTAAGTTTCAGCTGTTTTATATTCAGTTTTACATTATTAGATACAAAAAATACTCTCAAACAATACATTTAATTTAAAATTTTGCACATGCAGTTTAACTCTGGGCTAAAATAAATTCCCTTACTGCCTACATTTTTTCATGAACTCCACAGACCCAAAGGTTTCCTATTTGCAAAGGCTTCCTGTCCATAGATCCCAGAGCCTGAAAGGTTTTATTCTGCAGTGGTGCAGGCACTCTGTTATTAAAGGCTTCATTCCAGCTGACACCTTACAAAGCAGGAGAAACAGAGTGAGTAAATACAAGTGAGAGAGAGGGAGGGAGCAAGAAGGGAGGGAGGGAGAAAACAAGAACACATCCAGTCATCCATCCAGCTTTTCAAGATCTCTGTTTGAAGTTGCTTAACAAGTCTTACAAACTTCTCTTTGGATCGTAAAAAACGGTTGTCAGGTTCAGTAAATTATTTCATAAACCCAGAATACAGTAACTGTTTACACTGCCTTTGAATCTTGGATATAGAAAACATGAATAGTTAGATTGAAGTGTTACGGTGGGTTGGATTCGATGCATTTAATGAGATGAGTGTTGCTTATCTTCACTGTCAAACTCTGTATAGTCAGACTGTTTCTTCTTCTTCAAAGTCAGTGTCAGTGCTGCTTTTCTAAGCAAGCTTAGTTTGTTTCATGTTCTTTAGCTTTGCTTTAGGTTAGCTTATGTAGAGGCAGGTGAACTCATTGTGTTTCATTCAGGCAGGGATTACTGGTTCTACTGTAGACTGATGCTAATCATGGCTGGAAGTTAAACCACATTGCAAAAGTAGCTGGTAGAGGTTGCATTTTACTTTATTCTGGCTACTTTCAGTAACATTTCATGGGAAGGGAAATTTGTCTCAGATCCTAGACAGTGAAAACTCTCTTCTGTTATTTTGTGTGTGCTTTGTAGCAAAGTCAGTCCAGAGATTACACTAACTAGGTTTTTAGGCCTGTTGGGCTCCTATTGTCTTATCAACAAGGATGAATCTTCCAGCAGGCCAAACCCAGTGAGAATGACAGAAAGGGAGCGGTTCTCCGGCTGGAGGACTAACCAGTTTCTGTCTGCCTGGGGTGTGTCCACCAAGCAGCCCTACCCAGCTGACACTCTTCCCTACATGGGCCACTCTGTCAGGTGCAGCACACCTCACACCTTCTCTTCCTCTGCTCGCTGAGGTTTTTCCTGAAGAACAGAATGCCTCTGCAGTCCACTCTGTCCGGCAGGAGCTCGGGCTCCAGCCAGGTGGTCAACACTCAGTGGGATGGTAAGTCGTTTGAGCAGCTCCGGCGGGAGTGCCTCCAGAAGGGGGTCCTGTTCGAGGACCCAGACTTCCCTGCCACCGATGCCTCCCTCTTCTTCAGCCAGAGCGTTCCTGTCCAGATTGAATGGAAGAGACCACATGTGAGTACGCTGTTTGTTTCCAGAGGCGGCTGATGGTGTAAAGGTGACTCTAACATCTCAGGTTCTTGTAAATGATGATGATCTGTACAGAGAAAACTAATTGATGGCAGTTATTGAAGAGAACAGAGCAATAACTGACTGGGAGAGGATGTAAGCCATATTAGTGCAGAGATGAAGAGAAAGTTTGGCTTTATGATCATGTTCTGTTTGTTCTGATTGCTGACATACCAGGTCCATCTTTTTGTAAATAGCATGCCTTATTAAAAAGGTCTGAAGGCAGTTTGCTGCTGATCAGAGGCAATGCCCAGAGCTTTTATATGTTTTATATTTAGATTACAGTCTCTGTACCTTTTTGTTTTTAGCTATGGCTCGTTTTGACCTTCCCCAACACCCCGCAGTAAATGCGCTATCTGTTACCCCGGACAGTATGAGAAGGAAAAACTCACCCCTCCACTTTGTGACCATTGCTGTGCATTTTTCCTCTGGGCGTTCCTTCAGAGTAAATGCTTTAGCTGCCATCATGGTGTGTGTGTGTTTTCTGTTAGTGACTGACTGGGATTTCAGACTGATTGATATGTGTGGAATGTGAACACACCTATCAGGAACGCACTGGTGTGTCCTTCTTTAAAAATCAACCAACCTGTTTCCTTTCCTGTTTTTTTTTTTTTTTGGTCATCTCTACAGGAGATCTGCCAGAACCCAAAGTTCATTGTTGGTGATGCAAACAGGACTGACATCTGCCAGGGACAGCTGGGTGGGTGGTCCTGTTATCTGCGTCTCTTAGACATGTAGCAGACGTGAAATTAATTTTCTAATGATGACTGAGGTGCTTGTTTGTTGCCACAGGGGACTGTTGGCTCCTGGCAGCTATCGCCTCTCTGACCCTAAAAAAGGATGCTCTGAATCGAGTCGTTCCCCACGACCAAAGCTTTGACCAAGGATACGCCGGCATCTTTCACTTCCAGGTATGCAACTATTTTACACCTCAGGTTCAGACTGATTTCAATTCCAGGAATTAAGAGTTTTTGTATTGTTCTTATAACTAACAAAATTAGTGAAGCTGTTTTGGAGACAAATTCCTATTAGAATAGAGTCCCAAACAACACTCAGGTAAAAGTAACACTGCTGCAACATAGTTTTACTTTTATAAAGTACACATCCAAAACATCAAGTAAAAAAGTATTGTGTAAAAAGGCTCCTAAAGTACAGAGTTACGGATCTACTTTTAATCACAATATCTGATTTTCTATTTTAAAAATGGTCTCAAGTTACACAAAATATATATTTATACTTTTATTCTAGTGTTTCTGGAATGAGATAAAAAGGAAATAAATGTAATCATAAATTAATGATACAATGGGAATACGAGGGGTGAGAAATATGTCTTAAAGTAAGTCTTTTTGAATAATTTTGGTTATTCCACTTTTTAAAACATCCCTCAGAGTGTTTAAATGATGCATCAGCATAAGTTGATGGAGGAGAACGTCAAACCAAAACAGAAATGTGACTCTGGTCCATTTTTATTTAAGACAAGTTTGTTCTTCACTGAATGAAATTGCTCACGATAAGCAGAGAGCCAGGAGTTTTACCCAAGTTACAGTAGTGATACTTCAGCATACTTTTACTAAAGTAACAAGTCTAATGCAACAAAACTATTCCTAAAGGTTCCAAAAAAGTAAAAAAAAAACACAAAACAATCCACTGCACTTTTTTTTCCAAGTTTGAAGACGTTTGGCTTTGATGGGAAGCCAAACGTCTTCAAACTTGGAAAAAAAAGTGCAGTGGATTGTTTTTTTTTTTTTTTTACTTTTTTTGGAATGACTATGACTTGGATGGCTGAGGATCTTCACCAGCATATTCCTAAAGGTAACTGAGTGAATTATACTACCAAACTCTGGTGACAAAGACATGCAAGAACCCAAGAAGTGAAAAAAGTTAGAGATGAAAGGACATCAGTATATACTTCTGTAGTAATAAATTCTTTGAGCTGATTGATGGAAAATATATTTTCTAAAAGTAGTGAGACACTCCTCCACAGTTTATTAGAGTCAGGTGATCCGATTTTATCCTCAAATGTGTTAAAACTCAGCTTTTTTTTGTAAGGCTGGATGTCTATCTGGAGCTCTGTGAGTTTCTGTAAATTATATAATGTCAGCAGGTTGTTGGTTCACATAAATTATTTTCCAGCTAAATGCTGCACAGCCAGCTGTACCATAAAGAAGTGGGAGCCACCGGCTAGGACCTCTCAGCCCCACAGCAGTAGGTCATTTTCAACCACAGAGCTGGTAATCAACGAAGACCTCAGAACATCATGGAGTTCTCTGAAGAACCATGGGTGTTGATCAATGTGGACGCAGCATCCTGTGAACAAACTGACTGCTTCGATGCAGTGTCCCTGGCAAACAGCCCTGGCCCTAGTCTGGTTCCAGTGATTATCAGGAGACTGGAACAGACCAAGGATAATGTTCGGTAGAGGAGGGATATTTGCGCTGGCTTCTATTTTAGTAAATGTGTTTGCCTTCGAGTCAATGAGTCGATGCAATCAACTGGTTTTCCTTAGATAGAAAACTTTGAATCAATCTGACTGGATGATCTGACGAACTGTAAAGTGTCTTGAGATGACATGTGTTGTGAATTGGAGCTATAGAAATAAACTGAATAGAATTGAATCAGTCCCACTAGAAACAAGGGTTCACCAAAGGTTCCCAGGTTTGTTGCATATTTGCTACAATAGGCATTAATAGGTTAGACATAAATCATCTTTTTCTATGGCATGTTGTCTTTCTTACCTTCTCCATAAAATCAACTTATTTATTTAAAAATTTTTTGCGCTTTAATTCTATTGTATTGAGTCAAAATGAACTTTATTTGCCAAGCCATTTTGGTTTCTATATTCCTGTCAATGCAAATATTTTATAAATAAATATGCTTCTACATTAGAAAATACATGTAATATTTATTAATATACAGATTTTTTTTTTTTTTTAATCTGGGGAATAAAAGGCAGATTTTTTTGTGATTTTTCTACATTGTCCTGTTTAGTTCTGGAAACACAACAAATGGCTGGATGTGGTGGTGGACG